GTTATATCTTTAGAAGTCAAACTCTAATACGCAAATTTTCTAAAACTGTTCCATGGAGAGAGGGAGACATCCTCTGAGGCCCACTGTGGGTTGGAGGAATTTCGTCTATGGACACACATTGAAAAAAAAAACAATCTAAATCCTTCCTCTAAGGCCCACTGGAACTGGCAATGGGCTGGTGAGCCACCGCCCTCTGCATGCTTTCAAGTGATCGAATGTATCTAAACTGTTTGGTAAGGTCATTTGTAAATATTTACTGATTTGGAGAGAAAAGAAGTGAAGTTACATAAACCCGTGCCCACCCTATGCTTTTTGCCAGCAGACTCCCTTCTGAAACATAGTTTTTGGAACTATCATACTACAGGAAGATTGGTGGTATCCTCCAACATTTAGAAGGCAAACAAGAACTTGGGGGGAGAGGGGAGTCCAAGAAAATCCCACTGAAGGAACACTAAATATAAGTTATTTCTAAAATCTTTAAAGTTTTTCAAAATCTGTATTTCAGTCATCGCTTCACCAAAGAGTTTATCTGACTCATTAAAATAATGCCCATTAAGATACTTGACTATCAACAACATCCAACAGCACTGAAAGTGGAATTAACTCTTCCTGGTACACAGAGAATAGAGAAATTGCCCAAAGCAAAAAATCAGGGGCTGGAACCTCTGACCACCCTAGTCACCCACCCCCAGGTCAGGCCGACCTGTGTATGCTAAACATCAAAGTTCCCAATTTAATCATCCAGATTTTTAAAGGCCTGAAAGATGTCAACTTTGGAAAACTCAATGTCCCTATAAGCCCAGATTAGTTCAGGGGGACTGACACTTTCCAAGTGAAGCAGGCAGGCCACCCAATAATCTGCCCTGGAACCTCCATCCTTTCCTTTGGAAAAAAGCTATGCAGCACAATTTATTGTAGAAGGCCAAAGCTAAGGAGTGGAGAGGAGTTGGGGACGAGGGGGCACACCAGTAACTATCAAATATGGATAAAGTAAAACAAACCACCAAAGCCTACAGACTGCTCCACGGTAGGGGTCTGGCCTGACTCCATCAAAGGCCCCCCGTGCAGCCCTGAGCCAGCGGGACCCGCCTTGGTGATCGCTTGCACAAGGCCCCAAATCAGCAACAGCGCAGTTGAAGCTACCCAGAGGGTCATGGCCAATGTGCAACCCAAACATATCTGCAAGGAGATTATCTCAGTTCTGGGAACCAAAGGCTTATGTTTTCGTCAAGGTGGCTTTCAGGGTGGGGCCATTTAATCTTACACCAAAGAAAATGACAAAGAAATGAAGGAAAATAACCATAAGCTGAGAATGTGGTTTCTCCTAATCCT